GCAAAAAGGTCACATGAAGTTCGCTAATGAAATAATAAAAAATAGAAGGTTTAAGCAGAGCTCGAGACCAATTCAAGTAAGACTGACAAAATACAGAATATACGATATTTAGGCAGCTTTAGGCTGTAAAATTGCACTCTTCCCTTGCAGGACTTCTCGATCGGAGCTTTATGTGGCGACGCCAAATTTGTTCCAGTGGTTCTGGCACTCCCTGTATCATAGAAATGCCATTAGACTGTCAGTCTCTACATCGTCCTGTAAGGCCTAGGGCAACTCGAATTGCTTTCTAAGACCCACTAATGGTTCAAAACCCTTTAAATTTGTCGCATAGCAACTACGAGATTGTCTTTCAACACCAGCACCACAATAAAAATGTAGAATGAGACATGCCTGACCTTCCTTGAGGGTCACCAGTGACCTTTGAACCACTAGCCCACGTCCGTGGTAGTGCCAGGGTGATAATATGTTGTAGTTACGAAGAATCTACTGAGATGGCATTGCTGTGGAGACTTCCAATTCGCATGAAAGTGTGTGAAGAAGAGACTCGTGGGTTGATCTCTCCAGAAAACGAAGGATGATTCAGATTGTACTGCTGCCATTTGGCAGTACATTGGCCTTTTCGAACAAAATGCAAGAACATCAATCCACCAAACGAGCCCTCGAGATCCAGATTTTCTTCATATCGTCCGAAAGGGGCCGAAGGACAAACCAATTGTCATTCTGTGCAAGAAGCCTATCGATTGCAGCACAAAGAAGATGTGGCTATCGATCAGTAGGCAAGGTGACAACATATCGAGACTCAGGACAGAACCGTTAATGACTCGGTGCGCCCGGGTTGCCAACCCGCCTTGGGGCCAGACTAAACACAAACAAGCCGGGCGCGGCCTGGCCACGCCATTGGAGACGAGAGCTTATGAGTCGGCCTGAAGAAGAGGCCACATCGACCGTCCCCAGGCCGGCGAAGTAAGGCGGCACGAGGCGGCAGGACCCAATTGGTACCGAACCCGAGGGCCGGTGGACCGGAATTCCGCCGGCGACACCCAACCCGGCCACACTGAGACCGATACCGCCAGGCCGAGGCGAGCATGCATGATTAAGCAACTAGTCACTGCGGTTCGTGGTACAACCGTGTCTGTTGCTATTCCACCTACCCATCCAGCAACCGATTGATTCAGTCGTTTATCTGTACACACACACACACACACACATCGACAGAGAGTGAGAGAAAAACGGTAGGCGTGTATGTGTAAATAGCTGAATCGATCGGTGGATAGATTAGTTGATTATATTTATATAATATTATATATATACTCTAT